CTGTTGTGGTTCCAGAAGAGATTAAAACACTTGAATTATGTAGATAGAGAACTTGAAGGACAGGATGTTTCCTACAGTACATTTTTTTCATGTTAGCTTTTTTTCTTTTAATGCAGCATTATGCTATGAGAACATCCTTGAGCAAATGAGCTCTTACTAACTCAAATAAAGCTACCACATAATTTCTCTCCCTGCCCATGGTAGCATGGGTCCTTGGAAGATTCATTTGTTCAAATGAAAGGCTGTTGCCTCAAGATTCCCTAGGTTCTCTTATACTGTCTCAGCTGTTCTACCTTATTTTGGTAGCCTGCCTCTTAACAGTATTGCAACTTTTAATTTTGTTCTGCCTATAGATGTTGCTTTGCCTGTCATTGGTGAGGCACTATATTTTTAGGAAAGTATTTAGTACAGGGGGTTTGTCTTCTACTTTCAGAGAATTGTTCTTATTTTTGCTTATTTTTTCCTATAAGCTGAGTTGGTGTGATAGTTAGATGTTTCCTGTTATTGATGTATAGGTCTAATCCCATTATAGTAAATGTAACCTGTTAAAGGAAATTGGGTGCCTGCACGTGAGTACTTATTCACCACCTACAGTGGCAAGCATGGGATGAGGATGGTGACTCACTTTGATGTACTCCCACGCCTTAATCTATGCCCAGGCAGTTCCCTGGGCTGGAGAAAAATGGACAAGGATATTGATGGGTCTCACTTTAAATTAATGACCACCAACTTCAAAAGAGCCAAAACGGCTGTCCAGCATTCCTTCTATAGTGTTTTCTCTTTTGCTCTCTTATATGAGTATTTCATTTTCTCCTCTTTTTGATCTTTAATTGTCCCATTCCATTCCCTCCCAAAGCTGATGAGAAAATCAGAAGCAACCAAAAGGAAATGTCTAATCTCTCTGTTTTGTTTACTAACATACCTGTATCACACCCTGTACTCTTCTAGACTTTGATCATTGATAGACCCTGTGGTTGTCCAGTACCTTAGCATGTCTCACACACACAAACACACACACACACACACACACACACAGAGGCTACCTACATATGATCATCTTTTGTTTTATTATGCTGGGTGGGGGTACATTGTGGTATTTACAAAAGTTCTTATAATATATCAAATGTATCATACTGAATTCACTCTATGATCATCTCCTTAGCGATTTTCTCTTCTGGATTAATTATCCCTCTTCCTTCTTTGCCAGACCATTCTTATCAGCACACTCACTGTTGAAATAGCTCCTGTCTTCAAAAGAAAAGAGAAAGGAAGGAAAACACAACTCCCTACAGATACTGCCTTCTTTCTGTATTCTTCAGGACAGCAGAACCCTTCAAAAGAGCTGCCCACTATAGCTCTCCTTCTGTTGTTTTTAAAATTTCCCCATTAAAGTTTCTGGCCCCACCACTCTGCCAAACAGCTCTGGTCAAGGCCACCAGTGACCTTTACAAAGAGAAATCCACTGATCAGTTCTTGGTGACTTGCCTCTCATGGTTACTCTTCTTACACTTTCTTCCCTTGGGTTCCAGCATCCCACTCCTGTTTCCCATTTCACTTAGGTAGCAGGTCATTCCCCATTTCCCAAACCTTAAATACTGGATGGTTCCAGAGTTGCTCCTTTAGCCTCATCTCTTTCCTTGCCTCCCCTCCAGTGAATTCAGTGGATTCCATCTTGTGGCCTAAAACGTCTCTTCCCTGGTGACTACTGAATTGATGCCTAGCTTGGATCTCTTCCCTATGCCACACACTGTCCTGGCCAGTGGTCCCCTTCATTTCTCCTCTTGAATGTCACAATGTCCAAGGTCAAGTTCCTGATTTCTAGTACCTCAAACCTATTTCTCTTATAGTATTCCTCATCTGCAGTTGCTAAAGTCAAAAAGTATGGAGGCATCCTTGACTGTTCTCTCAGGAGCTACACCTTCATCGCATACTGAGAATCTCACCACTTCTCACCTTCTCCACAGCTTAGCCCCTCTAGCCAAGTTACTCCCTTCGTTTGAGTAGATTATTGCTGCTGTCTTCCCATTGGTCTCCTTTCTTCTACCCTACTCCCAATAGAAAATTCTCCATACAACAGCCCAAGACATTTCAGTAAAGAGAAACCCATTTTGAAATATGAAGTCAAATCACCCACGTGCTCACAGCCTACCAATACCTTTCCGTTTCACTGGAATTAAAAAGTGAAGGCTTTACAATGGTCTGGAAAGCCCCAGTGCTCTGGCCCCTGCTATCTCTCTGACTTGATTATCTTTTATCTCCTCCTCTCCTTCCCCATCATTTTCCCTCTTATTCTGCTGTCCACACTGGCCTGCCTGCCTTTCCTTAAGGAACTAAGTACATCTTACATTCCAGAGCCTTTGTGCTGTTGCATAATGCTTCCTGTGCCAGAAATGCAGAGTGTGCTTCTACCAGCTGTCTGCAGGGGTCACTCGATCCATTCAGCTCAACTGTTACTACATTCTTCTCTGAAAGTACTATAAGTCCCTCCCTCCTACCTGCATTTCCTCCTAATATAATTATTTGTATATTATTAACTCCCCTCCCCTCTTTGAGGGCAGGGACTTTCTTCTGTTACTTAAGGCCCAGAATGGAGCCTGGAACTTTCATGAGCATTAAATAAATGGATGAAGGTGGTGGTGAGGAGTTTATGTATGATACTATTAAGTATGGAAGTCTCAAATTATTTAATAAAGCATTTGAAGAATTCACATATCATTTTAAAATACAGTAGAAAATAAGATAGCACACACACACACACACACATATAAAACATCCATAGCCTGTTTTAACCTGTGTTTGATGATCAGTCTGTTAGTAGTCAACACTAAAAATATGCAGCAGACATTGTGCTAAGATTATCCAGTTTAGCCCCACAATTTTCCTGTTCAGTATATGTTATCGTCCTATTTTACAAAAGAAATCATTAGGCTTAGTGAGCTCAAGAGGCCAGTTGAAGATAGGAAGTGGCACTGTTGGGATTGGATGTCTGTGTGTCTAACTCCAAACTTATTTCTGAAGAATATTGCAACTGCTGAAATAAAAGCCTCTTAAATGTTATCTGGACCTGTTGGTCATTTGTATACTTACATAGAAAAGTATTTAAGAAATGATGCTCAGTTTTAGAAATAAAGGATTAAACATTGTGGTAAGCACTCATAAATAAGATACTTTTAAAAAATGTTGAAGCTTAAGTTAAATCTGATGGCACTTTGCCAAATGACCTAGGACAGCTATTGTGGCCTGCTTCATTCAAACATTTCTAACACTAAACTGGTGAGCTGTTGCTATGGTTGTGAATGCTTTCGTGTGTGAGTACACAGATACCAAAAATAAAGGACATGGCCAGGAGGTTTGTGAGCACTTCTTGAGAGAGCCTCTTCAGAGGAAAGTGAGAGGTGAATTCTCAACTTCAGATTTTTACAGTTAACTTTGCAATAGACTGCTTCGCTTCCAAAAAACAACCTCAAACTCAAGTACAGAAATTCCGTGAAGGTAGATAAAGCAGGGAGGGAATCGCTGAGCACAAGAAAAGAAGATATCAGCAAAGCCACAACTGGTCCTAATCATACTCTTAGTTTTCTGGTTCTCTGAAGAACATGATGCCAAGTAAGTGGTGGGGAACCCCTAAAAGCCCCACTTTCCGGTTACTCCTCTCTGACATAGTCTACTCTCCTGTCTATTGTTTGAGACATGAATCTCATTCCTGAAGAAGACCTGGATGGGTGGGTAATAGAGTGCATAGAGTGAGTCTACAGCTCACCGAAAGTTCCTATGTAGTGATCAGTAGCTATCAGTGGCATGTTCTCCCTGTGGAAGGCAGGTCCAGCTTACCAGCAATATGCTATGTTGGGGATTCGTAGGAGCTCCTTCTATAGAATCAAGAAAGTATTGATGCCCTGAGAGAACTAGTAATCAATCAAGTCTGTACTGCTAATTCATGTTCATTAGTTTAGATGTGCTGGGAACTGTCGGTAGGAACAGAAATGGGCTTTTGCACTATTACCATGAATCTTAAAAACAGGGCTCCACATTGAAGATAGGCTGTTGACTACACTCTGCAAAAGAGCACTAGGGTAACCTTTCTTGAGGTTTTTTTTTTTTTTTTTTTTTAGGTACTGGGGTTTGAACTCAGGGCCTACACCTTGAGCCCCTCTGCCAGCCCTTTTTTGTGAAGGATTTTTTCAAAACAGGGTCTCAGGAACTAGTTGCCCTGACTGACTTTGAACTGTAATCCTCCTGAGTAGCTAGTATTACAGGTGTGAGCCACCAGCACCCAGCTCTTAAAGTTCTTTTTGTGCTAATGGGAAACATGTCAGAAATGTGCGTGGGAAATAATTAGAAGACAGTGTTCTTGAATTCATTCATAACAGCATAGCATGTAATATTTTGTTGATCTTATCTAATGTGAAAGAAACCACCAAGCTTTTGTATAATAGTTGCTAGAACATCTATGCTATAGATTTTTATTTCGTATTGATTTTATGCTTGCTGTTGGGATGGCATGATTTATTCCTGTTTTTTCATCAGGAGTTTAAAAAGCAGAGGTAGTTATTGAGGTATCCATGTGTGTATAATCAGAATTTCCCCGTGTTCCACGATTACAAAAAAAAAATGCAGAGATAGACGAGGCTGCTTATGAACAGCTCAGTAAGATAGGGAGTGACAGGTAGACAATTAGTAGCTTTTCCTTAGATTGGTCCATAAGTTGACATGAAGTGTTCTCATTGTGTTCTTTATTTTTGTGGGCTTTGTGTCATGACCTTAATTTTTCCCCCCTCATTCCAACATCTGCTAGCTTTAAAGTGGAATGATTTCTTTGGTATTTGCAAAGTCTGGGAGATGCTTTGAACCTATCCAGCTATAGTTCTCAAGCAACTGAGTGGTTTATATTTGAGATTGGTTCTCATACTGTGAACTCAAAACTCAACCCTTTTTGATTTTAAAATATGAATTGCATTTTATCTCACTGCCCACTTTGTTTGCTTGTTTTTCCTAAACAGGCTGCAGATACACTGGCTGTGAGGCAAAAAAGAAGAATTTATGATATCACCAATGTCTTAGAAGGAATTGATTTGATTGAAAAAAAATCGAAAAATAGTATCCAGTGGAAGTGAGTTACAAACCAGTATCCTATTCCAAAACTTTCTTTGCATTGAAAAGTTGACGTCTGTCTCCCCAAATCCCTGTGTCAACTTTCCCTTCACACTAGGCCTCTCATTTTCCCCTGAACACACTTCTCTGGGCTTCTTTGCGTGTCACTCATGTATTGCAATGTTCTCTTGCTCTCTCTGTTTATTAACTGCTGCATGGTTGAATGTTAGCATCAGATACTTGTTTATGTTTGCTAGATGAAATTCCACCAGAATATCAAAAGGTTGTAATTTATTTTATCAGCATCTCGGTCTGCATTATGAGACTGCTAGGTATGACTATTTAGCTTTGATAGCCTCATAGCACCTCATTTGCCAGCCTGGCCTTCTAGATGTCAAAAAAATTCATGATTTGGTGTTATTGTGAATAAATTTTCCAAGCAAATGTGTTCAGTGATATGGTGTTTAAAATTTGTAAGGATTTTTTTTTTTTTTTTTTTATGGTGGTACTGGGTTTTTTTTAACTCGGGGTTTCATGCTCGCAAAACAGATGCTGTACTGTTTGAGCCAATCCTGTAAGGATTTTTCTTTTTTTTTTTTTGGTGGGGAGGGTATTATTGGTGTTTGAACTCAGGAACTATTTGCTCAGGCTGGCTTCAAACCGTGATACTCCTATCTCTGCCTTCTGAGTAACTAGGAGCCATAGCACCTAGCTTGTAGGAATTTTTAATGCTTGATTTTTAGAAGAGTATGAACATTTTTATTTTGAATATATGACTAAATAAGTCAGTTTTATGACTACAAAATTAAATGATATTAACTGAGGTTTTACCATGGGGATATTAATTCTCATATTTTTTAAGAGGTGTAGGTGCTGGCTGTAATACTAAAGAAGTTATAGATAGATTAAGATTTCTTAAAGCTGAAATTGAAGATCTAGAACTGAAGGAAAGAGAACTTGATCAGCAGAAGCTGTGGCTACAGCAAAGCATCAAAAATGTGATGGACGACTCCATTAATAACAGATATCCTTTTAAAGAAGTTATATATATAGCTATGTATATATATGTATGTAATATTTCTTCCAGTCCAAAGGTCAGTTACTTCTATGTTTTCAGAGTTAAGTTTTTGTGAATGTAGTGTTTTATGATATTCTTCCAATAATTTTTATTAGTATTTTTTAAATACTACCTTTTTTCAGTTAAATAGTACATGTTAACATTATTCCTGTGCAGGACTAAGAAAAAAAAAGAGTAATCTACCCATTGTTAAGATGCAATATACTAACCAGTGTGCTTAGGACAGGGTTTTGTGAATATTGTTGCTAAATACTATGGTACTTTTAAATAATTATGTTCAGTATTCTGAGGTGCTAAAAATTAAGCAACATTTAACATTGTAAATAATTAATTTTGGTTTGAAGAAGTATCATGGGTTTACAACCTGTGTATGGTGCTTTCTGCCTAATGTCAACCCAAAGACAATTCTAACTGGAGGATAGTGATCCCAGGCATGTGTATCTACCATATTCCATTGGGGAAAAAAACATTAGTGATGTACTCCATGGGTTTCTTACGCACTGTTATTTACTCTTAGAAACCTGTATGCTGATGGAAACTTTACAGTTTATCTTATACCATCTCTCATGAATTTTTGACTGATGTATACAACATAAGTCATTTTTCATGTTGTCTAATACTTTGTGGACAAGTCTGTGATCTCATTTTGTTATTTCTTTTCTGTGGGTCAGAGCTTCTCAGTAGTGTGAGAACAATGGAGGTTTTCAAGCTGTGCCCTGTGGAGCCTCAAGATTCAAAAACATTGAATTAGATCTTGGACTTTGCTGCTCTTTACAAAATCCTGGCCATCCACAGTTCTCCACATGACTCTGCATATAAACACATACACACATTTAATATGCCATATGTTAGAATATTTTGACATCTTTTAAAACCTTTTTGGCTAGGGAGAGACTGCCCATCTTAGGACTAGACAATTCTTAGAAATAGCAAGGGCTAGGAGCAGCTAGGAGCATGATTTTGATATACATACTAACCAGTGCTGAGCCAAGCCTTCTCTGTGTCAGCCATACACCTAGGGGATGGTATTCCTTTGCCTTCATCATCCCAGAGACAGGAAACAGACAAGTAGGGACCACTCCTATAGTCTGTCAGAATTATTCAAACTAGCTAGTTATAATATGTTTACACTTTCCCACCTTGCTTTCCTGTGGAAAACCCAACAAAGGTTCTGGCTTAATGCTTTCTCCTTTTTCTTGTCTTCTGCTTCCTTGACTACTTTGGTCTCTTACCCATGTGGTCTGCCCATACATCCTGACTTTAGAACCTGCAAGTATCATATACTTCTCATGCCTCTTCTCTGTTTCTTACTGTGGCTATACCTGACTGATAAATGCATATTAAACAGTGACCCAAGAAGACCCCATGTGGAAGCCCATGTGGTTACTCACCACTGCTAACAATGATATCTTCTTCCCACCCATTCCCTTTCCTCAGAACCCTATAGTATATCCACTGTTTTCCCTTTTTATCCTTAGATGTCACAGAAATCAGAATGGTTTCTTTTCAGAGCAAAGGACAGGAAGTCCCCTTTGGGATGTTGATTTGTCTTTCCCTTTCCAGACTGAAGACTTAAGTTCTTTTCATCTGACCATGTGTGGCAGCACCTTCATGCATTCAGTGATTTAGTTTTGGCCTTCAGTCTTACTTTAATCTACATGCATAGACCTTGAAATAAATGCGCCTTAATTCTTATGACAGTACGTTTTCCTATGTGACTCATGAAGACATTTGTAATTGCTTTAATGGTAAGTGCTGTTAGCCTTTTCCTCACATTCTTCCTCTGTCAACCTGTTGACCATAGAGCAATTCAGAATTCCCCCATGAACTCAGCCTAAGTCATTATTTTCAGGAGTTGTGGATATTTTGACTCACTCTACAATGTGCCAGGCTGCTTTTGTTTCTGCTTTCATGACAATAACTGCTTTTCACAGCTTTTACTTCATTGAACCCATTGCTAGGCATAAACTTGAGTGGGAAGGAGAAGAGAGCCAGGAACAGAATGGAACCTAAATCAGATCAGGAGTAAGCAACAATTTCAGAGTCAAAGAGTCAATTATTAAACTTGACTTAAAGCATGATTCTCATCAGCACTGTTTATGAAGCTATAAACAGCAGATGTGCTGGTCACAAATGAAATCCAAAGAAACCATGAGGAAAATGATTCCTGATCCTATTCCATCTTCTGCCCTTGTGTTTATCCCTTGAAATGACAACATTAGGTATTAATAACTAAAATGGGGCGTTGTAGTACCATAACTGTAGCACAAAGTGGAATATTTTTTGCACACATCTATGTTTAATTATGTGTTTTGTAAAAGTACTGCCATATGTATTGTCCACATACTAAACAAAAATCTGCAAAGTTACCTGATCAGATAGAATCTGACTTTCCATGTAAGATTATGCTAGAAATACACATGGGCTTACTGTTCAGTTTTGCCATCACAATTCCTGTGCTTTTTAATAAAGTTTGGGGAAAGTTTTATTCATCTGCAACTCCACAAGAGATCTGCTGTAAAATTTGGCTTCAGCTGAGATCATCTGGCCTTGGATTTAAATCCAAACTTCTTACTTCAGATCCACCATTGTTGCCACCATATCCTATGATCAGTATTCTTTTCTGTAATTTTTTAATACTTCTTTATTGCTTTGACCAGGTGATACACTTTTGGCCATTCAGGCACCTTCTGGTACACAGTTGGAAGTACCTATTCCAGAAATGGTATGTAGTATAAGTGGGAAAAAATGGATCTCCTATTTCAAGAGGGACAAATGTATTGTATTGAACGGAACATGAACTAATTGAGTATGAACACTTTTGAGTTATTGCTTCCTTCCAAGTTTTATATCTAAAAGTATATTAATACTTTATTATTAATACTTTTCAGATGTCTTCATTACATTGGTAAGATTATGAAAGTGGCCAGTCATTCAATTCAAAATCATTTGGTCACAATTTTTTTGAAAAATGTTTGACTTTATTTGATGAAGGCTCTCAAGGAAGGAGTAATAATAAGGCTAATATCTCTTAAAAATCCGTTAGAATGACTATAAATAATGTAAAAGTCATGACTGAGAAAAAAGTTCAATATAAATAACAATTGACTATTTTAAAATTAAGTCTGTAATAGCATATTTTTGGTTTACTGAGTTAGAAATTCATTGGCTATATGTAAATTTCATGGCTTTAGGTTTCAAATTCAGATTTTCCAAAACAAACTACTTTGAACTAGTAGTTTAACAATCAAAAAAGGAACTAGAAAACATTACTGTATTATCTATAAACTTTTTTTTTAATACAGTAGAGGGATTTTATAGTTATTCTTTATAGGAAAAGTCAGTTGTCTGCTTTCTGAATGGAAGGACAGGGTTTTGACTTGTAAAACAGCTGTAAATTAAGACAACATGTTGAGATGCTGTCACAGTGGCCCACACCAGGGGATGGAGTACATTTGTATGGAGCACTGCCAGATAGGATTACACAGTGAAAATGCCTAGTTGTTGAGCCAAATGTGGTGACATGCCTATAATTCCAGCAGTCGAGAGTCTGAGGCAGGAGAATCACAAGTTCAAGACCAGCCTGGGCTACATAAAGACCTGTGTCAAAATGAATAGCTGCTATAATTCTTTAACCAAGTTCTTGATGACCAGCAAGTGGTTTAGAGCCCTAAATATTCTATTCTGCTTTTGGTTTCTACTCATGATTCAGCTTGATGATGTTGTGTGAACTTAGTTAGATCCTAATATCTTTGCCTTAATTTTAATGTTTCAAGATAGCTAGAAGTGTTAATATTCATTTTTTTATACCCAATAACTTCAAAGGGTCAGAACGGACAAAAGAAATACCAGATAAATTTAAAGAGTCATTCAGGACCTATCCACGTGCTGCTTATAAATAAAGAGTCCAGTTCCTCTAAGCCTGTGGTTTTTCCCGTTCCTCCACCTGATGACCTCACACAGCCTTCCTCACAGTCCTCGACTCCAGTGACTCCACAGAAACCCAGCATGGCAGCTCAGAACCTGCCTGAGCAACATGTCTCTGAAAGAAGCCAGAACCTCCAGCAGATATCAGCTACAGAAATATCTTCAGGTGTGTTCAGAGCCTGTTTTAAAAATGACAGGAGAGGGAGAAATGGCCCAAACAATGTATGTACATATGAATAAACAAATTAAAAAAAGGAATCTTAAAAAAATTTTAAAACTTAAAATGACAGGAGAAAGCGAGTATTAACAGGTTGGAGAGGTTTTGTGAATTTGTCAGTTGTGGTATTATTAGCTAACAGGTATTCTGTCTCTTTTCAGCAGGATCTATTAGTGGAGATATCATTGATGAGTTAATGTCTTCTGATGGTATGTATTTGAATTTTATGACTTATAATAATGTTTTCCTAGAATTTATGAGTGCCACATAATTTAAGAAAAATTAACTTATATTTTCTAATTGCTTTTACTGTGACTCATGATGTATTATGGTAAATCATAGGTGTTCTTCAGAATTTCTCTCTGCCTGCATTTCAAGGACAGAGAATCCATAAGGGATACTTATCACTTTCATTGAATACAATTCTAAATTGTTGGCACACTGAGCAGACCTTTGCATTCCTGAAGAATCTAACCCAATGAGTAAAATAACATGTTACAATCAACAGGTGATCTGAAAACCCAGTTTTGTAGATAACCCAGTAGCCAGTTTCAAGTTGTCAATCTGAATCACAGAATTCTTAATAACATCAGCCATGTCATCATCTAATAGGAAATAATTCTTGAGAATTAATTAGCTACAGTAAACTAATTAAAAATTTCTCTGTGGGCTTGATCTTGTTTAATCCTACTTGAACTTTTTTGGAGGCCTTGTTCCTAACAAATATACCAAAGACTTAAGAAGTGGTGTCAGCAAGTTAAGCTAGCAAAAGGTAACTCAGAAAACTTAATAAATCTGGTGCATATTTCTGTTTTCAAAGTGGCAGGCAAACACCACCTTTGACTAGTGTTTTTAAATCATGTACTTTAGTGACATGTTCAGTCAGTAAAAATTTTAACTTGTTTTTCAAGCCAATACCCATAACCAATAAGATTACATGAGAATCTTTCAAAGTATACACTATCAATCATTAATATGATTATTACTTTATATATATTTTTTAAACCTTTGTGTAAAACATAGGAAACAATCTTGAGTTGCTAAGTTTTTGTTTTATTTGAAAGTATTTTGTTAAACATTATTGTCCATATGTAGAAATCATCTTTAACACTGAATTTGTTTTTGTTTGCAGTGTTTCCTCTTTTACGGCTTTCTCCTACCCCAGCAGATGACTACAACTTTAATTTAGATGATAATGAAGGAGTTTGTGATCTGTTTGATGTCCAGATACTAAATTACTAGATTCCATGGAAACTTGGGACTGGTTATCTACCTCTAACTATGTAACATTTTAGACTTCTTAATAACCTAAGTATTTAAAATAATGAATGTAACACCTGTTAGTTCACTGATTCTGAAGTGTTCTTCTCTAATACTTTCTCTTTTACTTCACAAAACTTCATCTATAGAAACAAAGGGCTCTGACTGCTTCAGGGGTAAAGTGATTCACCAGCCTCCCTTCCTTCTCCCCCAAAAGTAATTACATTTTGGGATTTCAACTTCTCTTCCAATTCTTAATCCTTCTGTTGCTTCCTTTCCTGAGAGTAAAGTTAAAGTGGAGTTCAGGTCATCAAAAACAAAAATGGTGGCCAAGGACTAATCACTTACACTTTTACTGCCACAAAACTGTATTTCTGTATGTCCTTCAATTCAGACATTTCACTGCCATTTATAAAGTGAAGGATGTAAATGAGGATATATAACTGTTTCAGTGAACAGATTTTGTGAAGTGCCTTCTGTTTTAGCACTTTAAGTTTATCACATTTTGTTGACTTCTGACATTCCACTTTCCTAGAGTATAGGAAAGATCTGTTTAAGTAGTTTGTTTTTAAAATGTGCCAATGCCTGTACATTAACAAGATTTTTTAAAATAAAGTTGTATAAAACATTTAATTTATTGGTCTTTCAAGAGAATTATTACAACTGAGCCATTAATCTTGTAGCTTCATCAACATTAACTGGTTCATTTTCATGATGCTGCTGAGGAATCTAAGGGGAGAAAAGTATTATTTAATATTTTAAATAACAGCAAACAAAACTAGCTTATAATAACATATAATGTTACCCAGTTTAATTTTTTCTAATCATACTTTAGGAAGTAGAACCATAAATTCTTATATTTAGACTCAATGCTTTAAGAGTCTGAATATGACTGAATATGCTATATACACCATAAAGCCAAGCATAATAGAGCAAAGTACTAAAAATTACACTGAACTTGGGGGTCGTGAAAATCTGTAAATTATTAGACTTCAATGTATTAGTTATAACAAAAGCAAATGGTTTTTACTTACCAGCTCTTTCTGCAGAGGTTCAAGAGAAAGGCCTTTTGAGAAGTGTGCAAGTTCCTTCTGTATGTTTACAAAAGCTTTATTCATTCTGTTAACTTTTTCATCATTCACAATTTTTATCTGTTAAAAACCAGGTAGAAATTTTAACTGAAAAAAAACATTAACCAATGCTCTCATAACTATTTACCATTTAAGATAAAATTTTTCATCCTTAACCTTCTTAAAGCCTCAAAGCCAGAATATGAAGGTAGTGCACATTAAAAGTTACAGTCTCATAAAGAAATTTTAGTCTTATGAGGAAATTTTAATCAAAAGTTCTTTCTGTAAGTAATAATTATGTGGACATGCCTCATACTTAAGACTTTACTGATAAAAGAAGAATGTTACCACAGTCTTTCTCCCTCATCTGAAAAAGCAGAAAACTTGGGTCAGCATCTCTGAATCCATCCTTGACCACCTTGTCTTACTGGAAGCTCCCAGCGGTTCTCTGAGAACAGCTTTCCCTGAGGTCCTCCTCTGTTGAGGCTGAGAGATTCTTACACTTGACCGCTATCAACAATTTCTCCTTCAAAACCCTCAGTTCCTTTGCACCATACACATGAGGACATTCTGGTACTTCTTCCTCATTGCTATCACTGACCAACACCACAATTATTTGCTCCTTCATAGACTCAAACCTTGACTCACTGACCTTTAAACCTGGCCTCAGTGCTTAGTGACCTGAACAAAAATCTAGTCCTATGGCCTCTTAATCTCTTGAGATCCTCTTTTCTACCACCTACCTCAGTCACATACTCCGACAGAATGCCCTGAGCTTGGTTATTACATGTAATTACCCCACCTCTTCTCTTTATAACTCACTTAGTTTACAAGCAATTCTTGAACTTCCCTGAAACTATTTCCCATCAATTTCATTAATTTTCACATCATACTTTTTTCCTCAGCCAGAACAGACTCCATGCCCAATCACTTAATCAATCACTTCTTCATACTTCCTAATTTTTCCTTTTCTTTGTCCTGATCACATCTGCCTGGCCTCCCAATTGCTGTCATTACAGGGGTTTATCACCATGCCTGTCCTCCAACAACCCCTTTTCTGAGACTACAACTAAATCTGGATAAAATCAGAACTGGCTGACTGCCTTCACTTTAAATCCATCAGCATGAACTTCAGCTTACCATTTATATAATGAATGGCAATCTTCTGACCTTCACCTACCAAAGCTACTTTCTGGGAAGAGTATTTGATACTTTGTCCAGCCATGTTGTCTGTTCAGATCTCTGTCTTAGATCCTATCTTATAAGCATAATAAAGCTTCTGGTACCTCCTATCCAAACAAAACAATCTTCCTCAAATGCACTAAGCTATTCCTGAGCTTGGGGCCTCTGCATGTATATAATGCTCCCAACATTTCCCAGCTCTACATTACTAGCTCCTTACCATTCAGGTTTTGGCTTTAATGTTGATTATAAAGACTCAACTCCAACACTCCCGTCTCTCATCATATCATACAGGTTAATTTCATTTATAGCACTTATGAAGTCATAAAACTGTTCAATTAGAAAGCCTAGCTCCTAATAATGGGACATGAATGTAAAAAGGAGACTGGGGAGTGTATCTGGGAGAGGGGTAGGGAGGTAACAGGGTAAGAGGGAATGGGGGTATGACTCAAGTGGTGGAGTGCTTGCCTAGCAAATGTGAGGCCCTAAGTTCAAATCCCAGTACAGAGAGAGAGAAAACATGGTATGGGGAGGTGAAGAGGTTTGAGGTATGCTACATGTATAATGAAGAGAGCATAATGAAACCAACCAAATACTTTTTCTTCTCTCTTTCTTTTTTTTTTTGGTGGTACTGGGGTTTGAACTCAAGGTCCCATGCTTGCTAGACAAGTACTCTACCACTTGAGCCATTCCATCAGCTAACCAAATACTTTTTGAAGGGGAAACAGACTAAGGGAATATAATGGAAGGGCTGAACTTGTTCAAAGTACACTGCAGGCCTCAATGAAATTTTCACAATGTAACTACCTTGTACTATTAATGATTTCCTTAAAAAAAAAAAAAAAAGCTTAATTCAGCTAGTTCTTGATAGTTATCCTGAGGGTTAAAAGACGATATATACTCCGGGAGTGGCTCAAGTGTAGAGTGCACAAGGCCCTGAGTTCAATACCCAGTATCACCAAAAAAAAAAAAAAAAAAAAAAAAAGGTGGTATGTCACTTTTCTATAGACTAATAGAATCACTGAGTCCTGGAGAGCTGATTCCATCTACTATTTAAACGTAAAAACATTTTCTTAAAATCTGCTAAATCCTAAAGAAATTTCTCAAATACTTTATAAGATAAACTTAATTTTCAAATGTTTCCTTTCAAGAAAGAAAAACCTCTATCTTAATTGTACCTGCTTTTATTTGGGTTCCAAGATAAGAATTACTGAAGAGAAAAAGAGTGTGTACTGGCTGACATTCCATGTCTTGGCTCTGCTAATAGGCTCTTGAATATATTTGAGTTCAGAGATAAGAACTATTTTCCATACCATCACCCTTCTTTTTTTTTTTTCTCTTAAATGATTCTGTGCTCTATTAATGGTATTACTAGAGAAAGGTATTTTTTTTCAACTCTGCTTAATAAGAAAGGCTAAGAACTTTTGAGTTAAGTAACAGAATTCAGTTATACCATAGCTTCACAACCATGCTTTACTTGCGAACAGTAAAATCAGAGTGTTGAACAGATACTCACCTTCTTAAGATTTGTGGTAACTGGTTTTGCTTTGTTTTTAGCCTTAAAGTTTTTTTGACTGGCTATGTGAAATACATTCCGGGACTTCTGCCCTCTTAGTTTGTTCTTGGCCATTGTCTAGAAAAGAAAGGAGTTCAATGAAGCTGCCTATGTTTCTGAACTATAGATCAATTTAAGTTTTTAAAGTTAAAGCAAATTTACCAATTAAGTCTAAGAAATTCCTGATTATTCAAAAGTTGCTACATTTCCATGTCTTTTGCCCTAACTAGACTTTTTGCTCTTTGAATACAGTGTATTTATCTAAATCTGTTCTGCATCCCTAGCATTTAGCCCATGAGAGATACCCAATTAATATCTGCTGGTTGAATTTATCAATATCATCAACACAACTTTTTCTCTGTAGGATCTGACATTAACCATTACCAACCATCCCTCTGCTAGTCTACACATGACTATACTATCCTGGTTCCTGTCATACTTTAGGGACTATCTTATTGCCTTTTCATTCCTTTTTACTCTCCATTTTTTTCTCCTGAACATTCCATCAAAATCAGTTCTTGATCCTGCACTCCATACCTCCTTCAAACTACTTTCACAACTTCCGTATTTTTTCTTTGTAAATGGCTTTTTCCTTGAAACTCGGTTTTCATTGCCTATGACTTCTACCTTACAAACATCTCTCAAATCTGTTTAATAATGCACCTAAGGAATAATTTCTGAAAAATTACTAGTTAACATTTATTAAGATTTTATTATCCACACATGCACTGTATTATGTGCTATAACTCATTTACTCCTCTCCTTCACTGGGATAATAATACTTTGTGCTATTTTACAGATAAAAAAAAATTTGTACAGGTTTTTAAAAAGATGCAGAGAGAAGTTAATTTGCCCAGTTTCACACTGTCAGTAACCAAGTTATGCCAGGATTTAAAACATGCAGACTAGATTCATTTCTGTGTTACTGCTTCTCATCTAAAAATCAATTTTAAAATATGGCACATTATTGCTTACTGCTGTATTCACCGAGTCCCTTTGGTGAGATCATGGGTTGGCAAACTATGCCCATGGACCAAGTCAAGACAGGTACCTGTCTTTTAAGTATTTATTAGAAGGCAACTCTGTTCATTAGATTATATTGTCTGGTTGCTTTGCTGCTTTCCTGCTACAACTACGGCCAATAAAGCCTAAAGTACTTATCTGATTCTTTGTTGAAAGTCTGTCACATCCTTAAGCCAGCTGCAGAGGCTCCCTTGCACAGTACTATATGATGAGTTTTCCCAATGTTAATCTTCAGTGGCTCTTCGAATACAGAAAGAGCAGAGTGCCTTAGCTTGGCACCTTACTGGTACCCTGACTCCAGCCTAAGTCTGTCAGCATTATCCTCTACCTCCACACACAGCACCAGTCAGCCCAGTTTACTAACTCTTCTTGCACGTTACATTCTTCCTTTTTCTCCTTTGCTCATATTGTATCTCTTGGCTGAAATTTATATCCTCCATCAATGTAGCTCAGAAAAAAAAGAGCAACACTTTTGAACCCTAACGCTGCTTTTGCTTAAAAAAAAAAAATGAACGCAGCAGAAAATGCACGATTATTACAGAAGCAGAAAATACACATATTTAAAACCATTCAAATTAGGGAATTAAAAATCTCTTCAATAGTAATCAAAATCCAATCTAGTATTCAACGAATTACTAAGCAGAGTGTGGTTTAGAATTACCAATTATACATATATATGTATACAACCTAAAAAGCATAGTCATAAATGAGCTACAATAATCATATAATAGACATGAAATATAACTAGACAATGTTATAAGCAGCATACAAATGACACAACAGAAGCAAAAACCCGGAACCTGCCAAAGAATGGCACCGGGGTTCCGGCCAGGTTCAGTAGGCTCGTTGTTCGGTAAGGCTGTCCGAAGCCGAACGATTCGGAACCGAGCTCTCTGGAACAGAAGCACAAGGTCGCCCCAGCCCTGCTTTAGCCCCGGTAAACTTCAAGCCAGCCCGCTGAATGACTGCACTAACTTCTCACCAGAACTCAAGACCCGCGTGCAGCAGCCCAGGCGCCAAGTGACGCCATCAGCACGCACACGGAAGTTCCGGGAAGAGGGATCCAGTTAAGATTGTTCTCTTATGCTGTAGTCCCGCCTACAGAGCGGAGTCCCGACCCCCGCGGGTCTGTACAGCATGCGAAGCCCCGCCCTCAAACGGAGTCCCACCCACCCGGCGTAGTCCCGCCCCCAGGGTGAGTTTCCATCCACCGTGGGAAGCCCCGCCCCATTAGCGTCTGTAGTGTTAGGCCGAGTTGCATAAGTTTCCTTCGCTCCAGCGAGCGTGGGGCCATAGAAATGCAGCAAAGTTGGGACTTTCCCAGATGGCGCCGGGAAGCCATCTGAGGTGTTTCTGAGTCATTGGAGCGGTGAGACGGTCGCAGGAGTAGCCGTCCCTCCGCCGCTGCTCGCGGCTGGCTGGCGCTGCCCGGCTCCCGGGAGGTGGCGCTGCTCTTCTCGGCTGGCGTCAGGCTTGGCTGGCAGTAGAAATCTTGTTGCAACTGGAAAGATCTAAAACTTTCGTCTCCGAAAGGGAGCCTTTGTAACAAGCGAAATTTAAAACGCTTTTTTCATTGAAACTTCCTTGCTGCAAACATAGAACTTCTGACAGCACCATAGAGGTACAAGAAACTAGTCATAATATAAAACAAATACCAGGACACTCAAGAAAATTTAGAAGAAACACCGGTGTGTGTTTCAGTGTGTACGTTTCCCAATTAGGACGTTCTGGATCGAGTGTTTTGTTTTTTAGAAAATTGATTTAATTCTTCCAAGAGGAAATCACCATCAAAGCTAACAATTTTCGCATGTTTCTCTTATTTTGTTGAGGGCATAAGAGAAGCTAGATTTCAAACAAATGTAGCAACACTGATTTTTATATTGTATTTTGAAACTTAAAAAAGAGTTGAGCCTACATTTTGTTCCAAGTACCAAAATAAAGTGAAAATACACCCTCTTTGCAAATGAGGCTCATAGTTTGTCATTTGTTGGCAATCTCACGACTAGAAATTGACAAAGCCAGTCTAGAATCCACCTGTTCAAGTCCTCTTTCCGTCAAATCAGCCATTTATCTGTCTACATAAAGATGAGTCACTTTTACAATAAATCTTATTATGTGTGTGCCCATCACAAAAAATTAAGGAATATATTAAGGAAAGAGGCATAATTGCCTGTCGGTGTATGTTTAGTCATATTTTGTGCTCTTTCTAAAGATCAATCTTTTAAAAATGTTGGTATAAAATGTCTATGAAGCTCTTAGTATGTGTGACCCACTGAGTTCGATCCTCAGCACCACAAAAAATAAAAAAATAAATAAATTGCCTATAATGTGTAGGAGAAAAAAAGAACAAAACCAAAGCTCCAGAAAACCTTTAGGTTGTTTTTACAAGACCAGACTTACAAATACTAACACAAATAAAACAGGTATAATTATGGTTCCTTGAACGTGAAGTTATAATATATATGTGAAGACAAATGTAAAGGAATGGCATTAGTGTTAAAACCTATGGGGTCTAGCTTTTATTATGAAATGGTCATATATAAATACATACATCAAGGAAATAACATGGTTTTAAGGTAAGAGCAAAGGCAATATATAAGGTGAGGAGGCAGGGGTTTCTGTTTTATTTCTCAGGTTAGCAGACAGAGAAAATAACTTGCCAGGGTCTCTCTTCTCTTAAACAGGTATACCCCAGTACCTCCATGAACCATCTCTAGAGCAACTAATCCCCTCTAGATTATAAATATCCTTGCAGTCATAGATAACATTGCAAGATAGTGTCCAGAAGAGGTGCCTTTTAGTCTGTCTTGCTTGTTTAATAAAGGGCATGCTCCCAATTTGATCTCCTGGACCAAGTCCTCTTACTTAGGATCTCATGAATATTGGTCATATCTCCTGAATGTAGTGGAAATATTAGGTACTCATGTATGAAAATGGAAAGATGAAACATTGACACTACTCCAGGAGAGGGAGGAGAAGGGGATAAAAGACTATGATGGAGGGGGTTAATTCAACTATGATATATTATAAGAACTTTTGTAATATCACAATATACCCCCAGTGCAACAATAGTAAAAAAATTGGTCGTATCTCATTAAGTACAATTAAAGGCCAAAAATTAGCATAAGCACCTGTGTGGGATACCCATGGTTTGTGATAAGGTTGTGTTAAATACACCTGCCAGCCACCTGAGCCCCTCTCTAAGGACTGCCCAGATTTTTCCCACCTTACAACTTATAAATTGGTCTTAAAGAAATCAAGGCTTCCTTGCCACTGGCAGAGCCCACTGCTTCCCTTGTGGTGTTTTCCTCTTACTCTTTCTTTCAATAAAGTTTTGCTACTGTTCTGCAATTTGTGTCTCTGTCCAGGTGGCACAAGAACTCCGAGTCTTCTGAACTAATATTTTCTTAGAATACTAAGCTCAGTAACACCACCAACCAATAGTGTGCCTCCTTTTTTCATATGTAGGTGGCTATTGTATGCACTTCAGAGACCATTCATTATCTGTTTAGTATCCCTTTCTGGGTAATCATGTTTTTCCCATCAAGTACACTTAGTTGGGCTAAAAATTAAGTCCTCTAAGAATTTTCCAAGTAGAGGTAGTGGGAATGTTGTCTCTTGTATTTGGCATTTGGCAATATTGTGCTGGAATGATATGAAACTGAAGCTGTGAGCAGACATCTCCTTCATCAACCTGGAGGAGTCCTTTCTACAGTGGAAGAAAACCAGGATGACAAACAAAAGAAAACAGAGCTGAACAATAGACACAGGGCTGTTAGTATCATTTAAGTCCTCGGATTCAGCCATAGATGAAAGAAAGATCCTTCTCTCCACTTCTCAATTACTTGAACTGAAACATTTTTAAAACTACTTTGGGCCATTTTTTCTCAATCTTTTGTACCCAAAAAAGTCTTGACCCTCCTTTTATCCTACTTCACAAAATTATTACGCAGAGTTAATGAAATACAAAATGAGAAAGCATAAGGTACTAATGAGACTAAAGAAGGAGTATATTAATTTTCTAAGAGTTTATTTTCCTATGAACCAAATAAACTGTACTATATAGGAAGAAAAAAGATGAATGGAGGTTTTTTTTTTTTTCACTTGGGTGCTGGAGTTTGAACTCAGGGCTTCACACTTGGTAGGCAGGTGTTTACCACTTGAAACATGCCTCCCAATACAAGATTTTAACAAAAAAAAATCTTTAAAAATACATGCAAAGATCATATTTCCAGGATTTTTTGTTTTGGTATGTTGTTATTTTGTTTTGCTTTTTGAGACAGGGTCTCACTATATAGCCCAGACAGGCCTTGATCTTGTGATCCTCCTGTTTCAACAGGCTGAATGCTGGGATTACAGGCATGTACCCACAGTTTTCTAACAACCTTGAAATATGAGCAAAATCATAAATTAAAAAAAAATCAAATCCCTCAGTTTTCCTGCTGAGATTCAGCAACACAGAGTTCATACAGACTTGGTTATAAAAGGACTATGTTAGAAGCAATTCAAGGAATAAACAAAGGTAATTAGGGGGGAGAAAATGAGAGAGCACATAAATAATTACAAGCCATTTATAACAAAATTCATAGCCTTCTACCAGAACAAAACCAGACTTCTGTAAATGATACTCCCTAAGAATCTGGGTTCACCTATGCAGCCTTATATTCTTTGTGGGACTTGGTTGGTGGGAGTTCACAGGAA